TAATCAATCACAAAAAAGATTGATTGAGTTAACGAAAAATTATTGATTCTTTCGCCTAGAGATGATTAACCCTTAACACTGTTGAAAGGATATTGATGACAATGTCTTGAAAACATATCCAAACAATGTCTTGAAAACATATCCAAATCTGATCTAAGTAAACATGAAAATCGAAATAAAATAACGAGTGTATGTGATTAGCCAGTAAACATTTTGTACTTATGACAAGAGAAAACAAATAAATAAAACATATAAAGAAAAATTTGTTGATCGAAAACACCTTCCAAAATAACAAAAATTGGATGAATGGTGGTGATTGGTAACGCAATAAGAAGTGGTTTGATTAATTAAATTGGAGATAACCAGTAACAAAATTTCTAATAGTTAAGTGTTGCAAAACACTAATTAATAATTATGTCTACAGTGATTTATATGTAAGTCATGACTCATGAGCCCCGTCGAGAGTCGAGAGGATTTTTACTCGTTAATTGTATTTTTTACTTCAAATTCCATGTGTCTTTTCAATAGTGATAGATGCTCATCAATAAAAATATAAAACAATACTGAACAAGTTGCAGATTTCTCCCTTCTGAATAGGTGTGTGGAAACGAAAAGAATACAAAAGGTGTTCGATCGGAAATTTCCATATCTCATAGTATGTATCGGTAAACTACCTCAATTCCCGACTATTGGCCTATAATGTGCCCATGACACAAAAGCTCCTACATTTCCGAATTGAAAGGCGGCTCTTTAACTTTTTCTTTTAAAAAAAATAAAATAAATTTCATTACGATTACTGAAAATCAACCAACTCTAATTTATACAAACCGTCTAACAACGACTGACAAGAACATACAATCACTAAACTAGTAACTAAACTATTACAGCTGAAAATACAAAATAAAATTTTCACCAACCAGTTACTATTCCCCGGATGAAAGATCCTCCAATAGCATGACTCTGTTGTTGGACATACAACGGAGCACATTAAAAATCTGAACTCGAGTAGATCACTAACTATCGGATTAAAACTCCAATTAACGAATCTGAATAACAAATCTACGGTGACTAAAAATTCTCGAGCCAAACTAACCGTTATTAAAGACGATATGCAGCAATCAACAGATCGAACAGGTTCTACTGAGCCGCACAAGACAAACAACAGACCTGGCTCCGTTGGCGCATTATATTCACTCAGTAAAGAATCGAACCAGGATCGATACTGAGGGTAGGAAATCCCACTTAATTGAATTAAAACACTAGGATAGAAACAACAAAATATAAAAATAAATTAAACAAAAAACACAACATTGGCCGCCGATCTGTTAAATAGATCAGATCAACAAATCGTATTCGTGATACCGACGGAGAAATAACCAAAATTTTGATTTCTCGCGTATAAGAACAAATTACTGACATCAGAGTTTTGAAACATCAGAGTTGATGTTGATGACACCGACGGTGGTGCGGAGGCTTCACTGACGGTGGATGGATGTGTATTACTCTGTTTTTTCTGGTGGATAGAAAGAAAACAAAGATTTTACTCCCCAACCACTGTTAATGGAGATTGGGAGAGGAAGCAGCGGAGGTTTTTTTTTTAAGAGAGAGGGGAGAGGTTTTTCAAGAGGGAGGGGAGAGATGACGTACTTTCAGGCGGCTCTTTAACTAAATGTCATCTATAAGATTGATATGATGAATGTCTTTGATAAAGTCTCGATGTCCTTGAAAAAGTTTCAGACCTCACGGATTCTATAAAACTTTTGCATATTTGATTATCAACAATCTCCAGTGGATTCTCAGGTCTTGTGAATGCCAGTGGAGTTCTTGTTTATTCTCCTTTTAGAAGCAATAGCAAGAATTTTAAAAGTTTTAGTTTCACAAACAAAACTTTCCTAACTTAAAATGCTGTCAATTTCTCATTTATGCTTTGCTAACGATCTCATCTATTTCACTTAATTAGGTTGCATCTTCAACAACCATCTAGGCTACGGAAGTGAAATTTTTAGGACTTTTTTGGGGATGAAAATCAGAAATATAAAATACGGCAATGGAGAACTTGGTTAAGGATCACTAACAGTTTCAGACAATAGACTTGGTTTAGGAAGTTTCAAAACTTCTTGGCGGGAGTTGACATATCCTCAAAGGTTATCATCAAGAATGGAAATGTTTTTTAAAAAAAAGGAAGAAAAGGAAACGAAATTCAAAAGAAACTAGCAACTTGGTTAGTTACTCCCTCCATTTCAATTTGTAGGTCGTTTTAGGTTTGCAAAGATTTTTCAAAATGTAGATCGTTTTACAAATTCTAGGTAAATTAATGACTATTTTTCTAACTTTACTCTCAATAAATGATGCTAATATATTTTCATTTAGTCTTGTTTATAGTTCCAATGTAATTAATGAGGGGTAAAACAGATATTTAATAAATAAATTAATTGTTAGATGATTGTCTCCTTAGTATACATGTCAAGCCTAAAGTTACTTACATTTTGAAATGGAGGGAGTATCAATTTTGTGATTCTCGTTACCATTATTCGTTACTTTAGATCCTAAAACAAAGCTGAAACTGTAAAACACTGTTTCACCTTAAATATGATGTTTTTATCGTCCAAACAATACCTCATGAACTCTTGTATCCATAGTTATCAACAGAAAGTAATGGTGAATCCTTAATCCTTCCTAAAATAAAACATACTCCATTTCACCCCGAAACAAGCGTCATGTTCGTTATACTGTTTTAGTTTAATAAACATGACTCTCGGTTTGGAATAGAAAAATCATGTTGGACCTAAACACTCCAAGTATCTTTGTATTCAGAAGGAAAGTGAAGATCTCTTGGCAAATGGGTGGGAGCTAGATCACAGTCCAACATATTGGCATCCTTCAATAAGTCTGTAATATACTTTTGCTGTTGGATATTCATTCCATCAACAATCTGCTGGATTTCCATGCCAAGGAAATATTTGGCTTCCACTAGATCCTTGATTGTAAAAGTCTGATCCAGAAAGAGTTTCACCTTGCTGATCTCAGCTTCATTGGTGCCAGTAAGAAGTATATCATCCACGTAGACAATAAGAATCAACATGCAATCTGCCTTGTGAAGAATAAACAAATAGGTTTCATGATATGACTATTTGAAGCCATAAGATTGTAACTGAGTAGTAAATTCTTGATTCCACTGCCGAGACGCTTGTTTAAGACCATATAAAGAACGTATCAATTTACAAACTTTTTGTGGAGAATCTTTAGTGTAACCAAGTGGAGGAATCATGTACACATCTTCTTCTAGATAGCCATGTAGGAGGCATTATTATGTCCATTTGATAGACTGGCCAAGATTTGGCCGCACTAACAGCAAGTAACAACCTGGTAATAAATTATTTTGCCATAGGAGAGAAACCTTCAAGGAAATCCTCCCCTTCCCTTTAATTGTACCCTTTGGCCACCAATATTGCTTTGTATTTATTCACAATTCCATCTGGTTTAACCTTGATCTTGTATACCCAATTTGAGCCAATTTCCTCTTTCCCAGCTGGTAAAGTAGTCAGCTCCCAAGTGCCATTGTTTTCAAGTGCACTCAATTCTTGATCCATGGCCTCAACCCATCTCTAATTAGTCCTAGCCTGATTGTATGTTACTGGTTCTTGAATACTAGATGGATTGGCCAAAAACACATTATGTGCAACAGAAGAGGAGATAGAAGGGTGTGTACTGACAAAGCCATCTAACCAGGAAGGAGGTTTTCTTGATATTTCACTCCTTCTAGGAACAAATGGTTCTGGATGACTAGATAAATCATGAACTGTATGATGATCAGGAATGTTGTTATGAGGAGAAGTGGAATGAGAATCAGAAGTAGACAATTGAGGTGACGAGGAATGTGATCCTAGAGGAGACAGGCTTGGATCATTTTGCGCAGAAGGAGAAGGTATGGATTCTATGTTGGATGGTGATAAGGTATCAGAAGGAGGACTTTGATCTGGAAAGCTAACAACAGGATCATTAAGTTGATTTGATGAAGATGAGGCAGAAGGAAACACATCGTCATAAAACAAAACATCCCTGGACACAATTGTTTTAAGGATATATAACACTATCACATTGGCCTTACAACCTAATCTTTCTAAGGTCGCTCTATTTATTTTTCTTCAAAACCTCTCCATTTTCGCATATTGAGGACCTGTTTTGGTCAAAGAAACCAAGTATTCTTGTAATGCTCTTGTAATGTGTACGAATATTCTAATAACTTCAAAGATGAAATCCAATACACCGTTGCTGAGTAGCTATGTGAACTAGAACCTCAATAGGAATTACTCACTAGCTTCTAAGTACTCCTGTTTAATTATTAATTAATATAAATCAGGGTATTAGGAAAGAAGGTACAAAATCACGGAATTTAACCGTAGGTTTCCTGTTTGACAGTTAAATGAAAACCAGATTGGTTTATAAAGTAAATAATTTGGAGTCATTGTGATCTCATTTTGACCAGATGATCTGTTTCATGTTTGGAGGTATTGGGAAAGTAACTCTAGGTTTAATATGGCAAACGGTACAACCCCAAACGAAGAAGTTATACATAATGCAATATCATCATAGCGCAAAGCGAATTACGAAAACAGTGTTCACCATCAATACAAAAACAACAGAAACGCCAACTCACTGCATATAAAGCAGCTGCAACATCTATGTAGCCGCGTCCAGAAAATGTCAAAAGGTATTATTACGATATAATCAATGGACATAAGCCGATAACAGCTCTGGTTGAAACAACATACAGTTGTAAAACAATGATAATTTCCCGGTGTGACAATCAAGCATACAGATGATACAAAGAAATATCCGACCCTTGTAACTATTTACAGTTGGCTTCCTTTTTCCTTGGAAACTGAAGGATTACAACTGAATCAGGGTGACTGCATTGTATAACTATCATTCTGCAGTCGTCACATTCTTGTTTCGAAAATGAAGCATATCAGAATATAAACAAAAGGGCTGACATGGGTTTACATTGATGACGCAAGAGGCGGAAATGGCTTTAGTTTCTCCAACAGCTTTTCAGCTTCGATGAATCCACCAAGTGGTCCCAAAGATGTGTATTTAATGGATTTCCAACTGCAAACGGAATTCTCTTTAAGTTAGAGGATTCATTTGAAAACCCGTGAAGACTGGAAATATGATTATATTGCATATAACTAACTAACCTTGGAATGAATGGAAGCGCTAAACAGTGAAGGTGGAGGTGATCAACACTGTTAAAAGGAGGTTGATGAAATCCAAATCTGCTTTTAGGAAAACAAAAAAACTGAATAAAATCACAAGGTAAATGATTAGCCATTATACGTGGCCCAAAATTTGCAGTACAACTCTCTTCTAGTCTAGTTAAAACACCACTAAAAATTATAATATAAAATGATAACACTGTGCGCAGAGGTTGCATGAACTCGGTTAAATTGTCACTCAGGCATATGTCAAGATTCCAGATAATTTATAATAGTAGCGAACTGTTACTTTCATCACCGTATATCATAAGAAAAATATTACACAAAATTATCAATGACGAAATTTGCAATAACAACATCTAAGAAATTACAGCACACCCTTCTAACACTACAAATAAAAATGCTTTTTACTTACTGGACCTTGTTAGAAGTGAAAGATGAACCAAATATGGAAAGGATAACAAGATTTTGATGCACTATTTTCTTCAGTTCACTATGGTTATTCATTAAGAAAGTTGACGGAAAAGATGTCTGTGCTTGGAGCGTCCTTGTATGTGACAGACCCGTAATGGAAGTACAAAACTAGAAACTGAAGAACAGCAGACAAAAGAGAAATCAGAAAAGAATGCAAAAACTTAGCTTCTAAGAGGAAATACCTGTAATGCTTTGAGCTAGGGGCATCCCTGTGCAATAAGGTTTGCCCCACATCGAGCATGTGGCTTACTGTACAAGAAAAATAGTAATGCAATAGCAAAAAATCAGTTGTCTAAAAATAGGTCAAGATTGTCAATGTAACAATGATGGTTGAGGTCAGTAGGATACTCCATTTACCTAATGCAAAGTCTTCAGCTCCCCTCTTAAGGTTCTTGACTGTGGGAATGTGCTCTATCGGTATTACCAGGTAATGCCTATTCAAGATAGATTCTTTCAGATACGATGGTCAGAAAAACAGTACTTATAGAGAAGTGCAATCAAATGTAAATAATCCGAGGTGTCCAGACAGGCAGCCACTATCCGGAGATGAAATGTCTGTGCAATTAGGTACAAAGCATTAAGTAATTCGCACACAGCTCAAACATTTCATGACATTGACACAAAGCAGAAAGTCAGAACGAGATGACAAAGAACTGAGAGAATTAGAACATTTCAGGATCATCATTTTCTAGATACAATAAGTTCTTGTCATTTTATTTACAAACATGCAGTTCACTAAGCCTTAGTTCCATAGCTTGCCGGTAACAAGAGTAAGAGTAGGGGGCTTAAGCAATTAAGAGCAAATGGAATGTAGTAAGAATAGTAAAAAGAAAATAGAAATTCAGCAGTTGGAACATACTTTCTCAAAGCTAAAGCCACATTTTATATTTCATCCAGCTTTAGTGACATCTCCATAAAGCAGGGCACGCATGTTTGGAAAACCGAAAAACTCAACTAAAAAAATCCTGCAAGCCATTACAGGCCCTAGACAAATGACTTAACCAAGATAATAATGAAATTTCCTTTTTCCATAGGTTTCTGCTTTCTATTCCACTTGGAAGTACAAAGTTACTATGGGTCTATTTGATCCTCATACTCCGTAGATAGGTACGAGAAGAGCATAAAAGTAGCAATGACACCTTTCATAATTCTAGAGGCAAAACAAGGAAATTTAATATGCAAATCACTTCATCAAAAGTCCAATGTCCTTTCGAAAAGTCTAATTATCACACATCGCCACATCAAGTAGTCAATTTATAGGACAGATGTTATGGTTTGTTTTAGATGTAACTTGTAAAGATGACCCTTGAAAGAAGTGACATATTTATACATACAAGAAAGTCCCTAATTTTAGTCCAACTAGCAGCTAAAACTCTATATTTGTAACCAATAACTTTGCATTCATTTGGTTCTCATCATAGAATGCAGAGAACACCAATAAAAATTCAAATACTTGATGGACTTTACTGGCATCAACCAGGAATACTTCTTAGATAGAATCTCACATAACATTACAGGATACAATATCCTCTTCCCTCAATATGATCCATCAATACGAATGCGAAGTTTTACTTAATAATCATAAATTTGTGCCGCCAATCATAAATATATTACCCCCAAATTTTAAAATTTCACAGAAAGAATTATCCAGAAGATTCTCAAATGAAACTCTGCATTAAAGATTCTTTAACACTTCAGAGTAAAAACTCTCAATTCTAAAATTTGTTTATTGTACATTCGAACCATTGAGAGTTGAGATGATGCAGAAAAGCACATGAAAAGAAGCAACAGCAGGAACTAAGCAAGTCATCAGAGGACACAAGCCAGCCATCAAGAGCTATGAATCAAAACCAGCTTATACTGGCATTGAACAACAATTCTCAACCAACATGCATGAATTAGTTTGAAAATACCAAAAAGAAAAAAAAAAAAAAAAAAAAATCAAAAAGGATGGATCTTTGGTACCTGAATGCAGAAGGGTTAATGTCTTGAAAAGCAACCACCTTTTCATCCTGCCAAAAAAAACAAAAACAAATCATCAAAATCCCTCAATCACAAATTTTAAACCCTCTGAATTTATACGAAGAAATAAAAGGTGGGATTAGATGGATTTACAGAGTGGAGAAGAGTAGTGGAGGTTGAAGAGCGAGCAATTTGGCAGAAGATACAGGGTGAAGATGATGGAGCTCGTAGCATCTCAACCCAAAAACTTGTTCCAACACCCAAATGCTCTGTTTTGACTTGTTAATCCATTGGAATTGAGAAGGTGCAGAAAAGCATACACAAATATGGTAAAATCTTTTTTTTCTAAATTTTACTGTGGGCCTTTGGGTTTTGGTAACACTGAAGACTCAACTTCTATTTATAAGGGAAAAAGTAAAACCCTTTTTTCATAATTTTTTCCCCGAAATAAAAATCCAAACTTGATGCTTCCCTTCCTCCTTAAACCCCTGCTTCTCCCCTGTATCATCACTGTTAAACCACCTTCTTTCTACTTCGCACGGTCTAACTCCATTGCAGTAAGAGCAATGAGCTCAATCGGAGCAAGTCAGAGGATTTTTCAACTCAAATTCGATCCTTTATCTGGCAACTCAGAATGGGTTGTCATTGAAGAAATTGAAGCCCCAGAGGAAAAACAGGAACCCCTATTGGCCACAACCTCGTACCTTGACATGCTCAATGATTCACGTAGAAATAGAGCATATCGTGAAGCCATTAATAAGACCATAACTCGGCCTTGCCATGTTCTTGATATTGGGTAATTCTTCTGTCTCTTAGGCTTAATTTTAATTTATTAACTGGTATTGAATAGAGGCTTAGTATTGCTATGAATATTCGAAGATTATGAGTACTGAAAGAATGGGTTTTTGTGTTATGATTAGTTAAGGGGGAAAAATTGCTAGTGAATTTAGTCAAATTTAGAAGGTAATGTATTCCTCTGCTTTATGGGGAATAGAAAAATGGTAAAGGTTATTAATTCTTTTTAAGTGAAGTAGTCGAATGTATTCTAATAGCTTAGAGGTTAGTTTTGTTTTGCTTGTATTGAATGCTATTCTTGAGATAATATTGTGTCACCGGTGTGTGATGATTGAAAGAAAGCTCATCTATATAGAGTAAAATTTTGCTGAGGATGAAAGTGCCTGTAAACCTGAAAGTTTTCTTTCAGTGCAGGGACTGGTTTGTTGTCAATGATGGCAGCTAGAGCTATGGGTCTTCAAGAGTCAACTACGAGTTGTAGTTCAAAGGCGAAGGTTTCAGCATGTGAATCATACCTTCCCATGTTTAAGTTGATGCGTAAAGTATTACGGGCCAATGGACTGGAGAAAAAGATACATGTCATCAACAAAAGGTCCGATGAATTAAAAGTTGGTGAGGATATTAGTTCACGCGCAGATGTTCTTGTAAGTAATGATGTCCCTTACCTAGTTGTGGAAATGAAAAAAATATTTATTGTCTCTTTGAGTAAAAAATTATGTGTTTTCCTATCTTTTATAATGATTTTCACTTGTATAGTATAACCTTGGCTGCAATTTTTAGTTTGACTTTTGTTGATGTTATGTTGCCATGTTTGACAATTGTGTGCATAATGATCAAGGTGATGTTGATACCTTTTGTTTATAGGCTGAGGGGATTTATGGTGAATTTTTATACTGCCTTAATGGTTTCCTGTTGCAAACATAATGAAGTGACATAATTTGTGGGTACATTGGAGGATTAGTTGTGATCATGCCTGTCAGGTGTTCTTTGTTTAATCCATAATTTCTGCTGTCAAGCTTAAGACGAATGTCAAAGTTTTAATGCTTGCTACCAAGTGCTATATTCGTCGAAACTTCCCTAAAATAGATTGTTGCCTTTCCTTTGTAGCAACTGTAACTTTAAGTTGATTTTATATGTCAAAAAAGAGGATTTATGGTGGTCATGACTGTATGCTATTGTTTGAAATATGATAATGCCTGATTCATAATTTCTGCTGTCAAAGCTTAAAGCAAATCTCTAGGTTCTAATGCTCACTAGCCTCCCAGAATAGAATATCTTAGTCTTTCTTTTCATCCTCCCCTTCCCCCCCAAAGGGAGCCACAATTGTTTTTCGGGTATTACTTCTTGCATTCTATTAAATACCACTCAAGAAGTAGTTAAGTTGACACGTCATTTGACCTGCTGATGATGTAATCCGCTTCGTTTTTAAACGTAATTAGAGAAGCTAAAATTGGATGTAAATGTAATTTGTTTCTTAGCTTTTGATATTATCTTGTAGGTCAGTGAAATTCTCGACTCGGAGTTGTTAGGCGAAGGTCTCATTCCTACTTTGCAGCATGCTCATGACAATCTCTTGGTTGAAAATCCACAAACGGTGCCATATCGGGCTACAACTTACGGTCAGGTGTATGTCCTAAGCTAACCAATTGCGTTTGTAAAATACTTAGCATCTTACATTGACTCTCTAAAGGTTGATAATTATTTCCTGAACTTTACGGTTTAAAATTACATTTGTTATACATTGTGATTTCAGCTTGTTGAAAGCCCAAATTTATGGAAGCTTCATGACCTGTTTAATAATGAAGCAAAAATCTTGGATGGCGTTTATCTTGCTCCAAAAGGGGTGGATTCAATATTGCATATTAAACAGCAGCAGTTTTCAATGCACTGTGATGCAATGAAAGACGAAATCAAACTGGTAATGTTACGGTTTAGAGTGTTTTCTGGTGGTTACAAGCTGATTAATTTTAAAGTTTCAATATTGTTCTAAAATGTTATTCAGCTTTCAGAACCATTCAGAGTTTTTGATTTTGAATTCTGGAAAAGACCAGAGAGTCATGAGGAAACTGAGGTCCATATAGAAGCTACCAATGATGGTACAATTCATGCCATCGTCTCATGGTAATAGATAGCTATGGAAGTCTCTTCTCTCCACAAATCCTTATGATGATGTTATTGATAGTTTTCTCTTTCCAAAAGGTGGTTGCTTCAACTCGATGAAGAAGGAACAATTTTTTATTGCACTGGGCCAAAATGGATTAGCCAATCATCCTCTTCATCTGAATCAAAATTATTGTTTCCTGGTAAGCTGGGTTGTATTTTTTTATTTTCTGCTCATATTACACCAGTAATTTGTCATTTTCAGTGGTCTAAAAAGTACAATTTGTTGAAAATAAGTGGTTTAACCACGATGTCAGTAGAAGTGGGACAAGTTAGTTAACGTCCATTATGTGCAAAATTTGAAAATTGGAGGTGTCTTACATCCTGATGTCCTGAATCCCTCAAGTTTTATTTGTGTCTGAAACACAGCTGAAATTTGAAGTCTGGGCATGGATTAAGCTTGAACTGTGTGAATAGATATTCCATGCTGAGGTAGAACACTCTTTGTCACCTTACTTCTTAGCCGGAGCATTCTGTAGCCGTGGTTGAACATTCTCCTTCAAAAATTCTGTTGATCGAACCTCTTGTCAATCTTGTGGGAGCCTTTTTCCAACTCTCTCAAACTTGCTTGAATAGTCAGCCTTATTTCCAATTTCTAATTATCTCCATTTAAACCCTTTCTAGGAACGGGGGATTGGTGTGATCACTGGAAACAATGTGTTTGGTTCTTACCAGAGCAAGGCTTGCCTGTGTGCAAGAATCAGAGTATTGATTTGGCTGCTACTCATACTGAAACTTCTGTCTCGTACAAAGTTAAGATTCCATCAAAGAAAAAAGACACTGACCTCTGTGACTGGTCTTCATCGGATAATCAAATTTTTCTACCACCAGAGCGAATTGCAGTATACGGTGATAGAAGGTGGCGTTTGTCAATGCTTAATGCGATCAAGAATTCTGTAAGCCACTTACTGGTTGTTCCTTTTGTTTTAATGGATTGTTTCTTCTGTTTAGTCTTTGCCTAGTGAAATGAATTTGCCTACATTCTTACAAGGCCTAATTGACAAATTCTTTTTCTAAAGAATTCTTGAAGGTGTCTACTTTGTTTTAAGGTTAATCTTTTGCTTAGATACATCAAGAAATGGATTTTTGGAAAAGGAGTCTCGGCAATATCCATCTACTTTCCAGATTGAAATCTCTTCAATTCATCATGGAAATCCGCATCTTGATCCTATTTTGATTGATGAATTGGTCTAGCTTCTCATGTTTTTTGTAAAATAAATTATGAACTGGGTTTCTTGCTTCATCATGCAGTATAACCGTTATCAAGTAATATCTACATACAGTATTTCTATTGTTTTGGACCAACTTGGAACTTGGATAATACATTTACATAGTTCAAAATTTTATTTCTAATGTCACATAATTCCTTTTAAATTAAATTTTATTCTTCTTCTGCAAATGTTACTGTGTCTCTAGTTCAAAAATCTTTTCCAAACACAAGTCTGCATTGAGATATGCCTGTAAGTCAGCTGCGCTGATATTTTAAGTAATCTGTGTTTTTCATTACATCTGCAAGTATACTGGCCAAAATGTCATGTTGTTTGTTATATTATCTGTGACTGTGTCGCACTGCACTTTTTAATAAATGTAGAAATCAGATCAGCTGCCACATATCCTTACCATCCATTATTTGCTTGGTGCAGTTGCAGCAGAAAGTTGCTCCCATGTGCATGGTTGTCGATGACAGTCTTTTTCTCCCAGTTGCTGTTGCCAATCTTTATAAGTCATCCCATGTAATAGCTTTGTTCCCTGGATTGCGACAGAAGGGTGCTCACCATTTGCAAGCTATTGCTTCTGCAAATTCTTACACAGTGGATCATATAGAAGTGCCGCAAACAAGGAAGCAGCAGTTAACTTTGCAGGATACGCATCAGAGAAGGGTTTGGGAAATTATGTTCTTTTGTTTCTAGGAGCTTTGATCATACATAATATATTCTGAGTACTCTAATTCCCTGACTTTAGTTTTCTGTATTTGCAGATTGATCTACTGTTGGGAGAACCATTCTATTATGGAACTGAGAATATGCTCCCATGGCAGAATCTGCGATTTTGGTATGTGAATCTCTGTAAATGTGTTTATAGGTGTTAACTTGATAATTGACAGAAGCCTTCTACCACTTTTGAACCTAAAATATTTGGGTAGGTGACATATCGCCTTGGGACGTTGTTTTTCTGTTAGGTAGTAGAATAAAATTTTCTGATTCTAATTTTACGGAAAAGAAAATGTTTCAGAAAATTTTTTCACCTGTCATGTTTGGAACTAGCAGAGTTTACTGGGTAATTTAACTGCTACAGTTGGTTGTTGATGTTACAACGTTGATTAAAACTTTTCTGGATTGTGAATCTTGCCTTTTATTTAGAAGGATATTCAATGAATCTTTCTTTCTTTTTCTTTTGTACCAGATTGTGGCTCTCATTAAACCTGTATGATAACGTTTTCTTAAGACCTTTTACACATTCTAATACCATTGCAGGAAGGAACGAACATTGCTTGATCCTATCCTTTCTGAAAATGCGATGACTATACCTAGGAAAGGAATGTTAAGGGCCTGTGCAATGTTTCTTCCTGTAAGCAAAATTGGTTGAAACTTCTACTTTTTACCTTCTTCACATTAATTTTTGATGGAGTATATACTTATTTCTTAGGATCTGTGGAGAAGTCGTTGTTGCCTGCATGACATTGAGGGATTTGATCACGCAGTCGTGAACTCAACATTAGGGGCATGTGGAGATTTGCCGGCAAATGAAGAAGCTCCTTTCTTACCGTTTTCTATATGGCAATGTGGGGAAACCAAGGTAGTTTGATTCATATTTTGGAAGAGGAAGGCAATGTTGTTAGAAGTTACGCTCATTTGTAGCTTTTCGCTTTAATATATTGAGTGTGTTGCTATTTTCTCCACAGAGACTCAGCAACATTGTGTCCATCATGGATTTTGATTTCTCGAAACCAATCAGTCCATGTTCTGGAACAGCCCAGGTAGCATTTGCTGTTTTACTATTAATCCTCTTCACAAATCAACCTTCCTAGACGAGATTACTAAGAACCAATTTTATAGGTTAAGTTTGAAGAATCTGGAATTTGCCATGGATTTGTACTGTGGATTGATTGGTTGCTGGATTCTTCCACTGAGATATCAACTGGACCTGGTACATATAGGCTTGTTTACTCTCTTCAAACATTCACTTTTAGTATCATTTTTAGTTTCTGGGTATGATGATAATAGCCTCTGTGGGATAGTAGATTTACTTGGAACTTGATTATATGTTTTTCTCAGATGAAAGATACTGGAAGCAAGCAGTGAAACTGTTGAAGGAGCCTATAGCAGTTGGAAAACAAGCTACAGGCCATGGTGGTTATCACTCCACTGAACTCGAAGCATCATTTGATCCCTCGAGTGGTGATCTCAGTATTAAGCACGCATTTTCATAACACAAGTAATATTATTAGCAATGTGCAAATTTATAATGTAGACTATTTCATTTCCTCCGTAGTTCTCCATGTTGTATTCATTTTCGCATATTGTTGTCTCTCTTTTCTGAGTAAGGATTTAGATTGGCCTTTGTCTATCAGTACTCTCTTGTAATCTTCGTGTGGAGAACGATCAACTTTTCTCTCTTTCGACTCAGAAACAAGAGCATCAAACAGCTAGGCTTTTCACCTCAGTTTTGACTCCAGCCCAACCAATAAATTCAACAACCTTAAGGCATTGATACGTATATCCGTCTTAGCAGGTTCTTCCCAATCTTTCTCAAAGCACTCAATCAATCGTTGGCCTAGAAAGGCAGAGTCCCTACAAAATCGAACCTTTTCCATCCTACATTTAGAGAGCCAACTTTTGCAGACGAGGAGATGCGCATAAAATTGAACAGAGAAAGAGAAGACTATCTTCCTCATAGGTGGCAAAATCCAGTTCCAGTTGCTTAAGATTGCTGATTTCTAGAAAGTTTCCGAGGAAGCAAAATCGACTCATATAACCCATATCTTGTTCAAGCTTCTGAAGCCGAGACACATACAAATTTGTATGGACGTCAAGAAGAAACATTTCACAAGGACATGGTGAAAAAGCAGGCATTGCTATGGACATCAAAGAGATCCAGGAACGTTCCCAAAGCAAATGTTTATATTTGAACCCATATATTTCAAAGATGTCAAACTTGTGGATGTAACCTCTATGCTCACCAACTTGGAACAGTATTTTATCTCAAGTGCTTCAGTTTATGTGATTGATCAGATACTCTCACTTTCTGTAAACAAGAAGCATTTTCTACCCATAATTGCTCGAGCAACGAGCAATTGGATAAGAAGTATTCAAGATCTGCTCTGATATAGAAACCGATTTCAAGCAAAGGGTAATTAGCTTGTCAAAGTTGGGAAATGGACGAGGATCATCCAACAACATCGACGAAGGGAAAGTGTAGTCATTCGTTTTAGAACCTGTGTAGCAACCTGCACAGCTGGTCAGGTACAGTTTGGACCTTTAAGTGCATACAACACTTTATATACCCAATCATGAAAGTTTCTTGCTTCATCCAATTGGTTTTTCTTAGCCTCGTCCATGAGGCGCACCGTGTCTTTGGACTCAAAATCCAAGCTGCCAGCAAAGAGTTTCCAAATCTTGATCCATCTATGAGAAAGAACAGAGGTCCTTGCATGCAGCCTCTCTCATGTCCAAGTGTGACAAAATGATTGCGAGAATCTCATTTGGCAACTCACTAATGCAATCCTGCAGAAAATTAACCTCGAGTCAGGGCTCAGGCAACAGTGTTTAAATACAAGGTACAATATCAAGAAACAAAATCAGAGTACACACAGATGAAAAAGGAAGGCGTAGTTTTTTGAGAAATATGCACATAACACCAGAAGGCCAATAGATATACCAACAAGACAACAATAAGAACAACATACCCAGGATCTGAGGGGATCAGGATGTACTCAGCCTTGTCTCTGTAATTCAATACAAGGAGGCTGTTTAAATACGACCGAAGATGCATTGGTGCAATCGATTTATTAATTTCCAGCAACTATACTAATATAGAAAAACCACTGGAATTCAACTAAGCCATTTTGATCTAATCTATATTAGCACAAACCTACAATAAGGGTGACTCTTCAAGCTCCTTTTGCAATGGACAGAGATAAACTAACAAGATGATTAAGAAAAAAAAGACTTTCAAGAGACAACCTTAAAATAAGAACACACCATATTCATCATTCATAAACCAGAGCTCCAAAAGACATGGAATTTGTTACAGAGGCAATAGTTCCACCCATAAAACGAGTGACAGATTACAGCCCAAGAATCATTTAAGACAAATCTCTTCACCACTAGAACACTTCATACCAGCACCATAATCCTTTATCCTTTGATCCACGCTGACGACATAAAAATTCATATCGACTACAGCTACATTTTATTAGAAAAAGAAAAAAAAATAAAAGTTCATAAAACCAACATCTAAATCATTATGCTCATGCAACAGGGGGCACCCATTTATGATTATTCAAGTTAACATGTTCCACGGTTGAATCTAGGTTACCTTGATAAATTGACTCAATCAACTCCGACAATTTCGGGAGCACCAAATTCTCGAATTAAACTCTCGGATCTAAATCCTTTCCTCGGGTTGCTCCAATTTTCGCAGCGAGATTATCAAAGCAGTACTAACCTTTGGGGCCCTTTCATCCGAATCAAGAGTTTATGAAATTCAGCACACAACTTGAATAAGTTGCACTATCCTCCTTTATGCCATATAATTGTTCCTTCATTATATCAAAAAAGATCTCGTCGACCCGCCGAGTGAAGTCTGGTGATTGAGTTTTATCCGCCATCTACGATTCAAAACCTTAGCTCTGATACTACTCATGCAGAAGAAAGGACAACCATCCCTAATTCTAGTAGGAACCCAATAATTTGGTGGAGAAATCATATCGAACAACGAATTTATTAATATCCAATAATGATTTTTGGGATCAAAATTTCAAAGAGTTACTTTTCGCAGTTTATAAATTACTCACAAATAGTTCATTTTGGATAATTTTACCTTTAAACTCTTTCTTCTTCTCCAACATACATTAATTACATTAATTATAAATAAATTTAACTAAATTAATTGAACAATTACACAAAATATAAAATTAAAGTAATTGTACAAAAAAAATAAAGATAACAAAAAAATAATACAAAAAATTAGAAAAAAAAAAAAGCCGGCCACCTTTTGACCAACCAACTTCAAAAGGTGGCCAGCCCAACAACCGGCCACCTGGGCAAAAGAAAATTTTTAATTTTTTTTTGTAATTGTTATTATTTTTTAATATTTACTTTAAGTTTTATTTTTTTGTGTTATATTTACTGATTTAATAATATTTAATTTAATTAAATTTATTAGGTATAATTAATTTATTTTAATAATTAGTGTAGATTAAATAGAAAATTAGGTATAATAAGTTTTTTATAATTGTTATAATTTATTTGTTAAATTTAAATAAAGAATGCACTAGATATTATTTTAAAATTATATGATAAATACATTTTGAGTAGGTTTTTATGATTAGGTATGTGATATTTAGTTAGTATTAATTTGTAGGCTTTAATAATTATTGTTTACGTAAATGAATTAGTTATTTTTATTATATTTTGAGTAAATTTATTACAACTAAATAACACAATATACACTAATTAAATTAATTATAAATAAATTTAAAAAAATTAATTGAACAATAATACAAAATATAAAACTAAAGTAATTATACAAAAAAATAATGATAACAAAAAATATATATAAAAATAACACAAAAAAAGGTACTGTCCGGCCGGCCACCCTTCGAAGGTTGGCCGGATTACTCACCACCGGCCAACCTTCAAAAGGTGGCCGGGCAAATAAAAAAAATTTCAATTTTTAAAATTTTTTTTGTGTAATTGTCATTATGTTTTTATATTTGCTTTAGTTTTATTTTTTGTGTTATATTTACTGATTAAATAACATTTTTAATTTAATTGAATTTATTAGGTATAATTAATTTAATTTAATAATTAGTATCTATTAAATGCAGAAATTAGGTATAATAAGTTTTTTATTATCATTATAATTTATTTTTTAATTCAAATAAAGAATGCACTAGATATTATATTAAAATTATATATAAATATATTTTGAGTAGGCCTTTGTAATTAGGTAAGGGTTCATAGGCAAAATTGTCTAAAACAAACTGTAAATAAATAATTTGTGAACTCCAAAAAGCAATTCAGAAATTTCAATGAATTAGAGACAGAGGAAGAAGAACGCCGACTGCGTACATATATAAAAAAAACCCTAAACAAAAATTGCATATTGATCCTTTACAATACTTTTAAGTCACTACACCCCATAACCTACAAATCATATCAGATTGTCGTTCATAAACAAAAAAAAAAAAAAAAAAAAGAAAAATCTCCTTGCTCTGTTTCAACACCCACCCATGCATGCATCCAACAGCCTCTTCTCTAGCCTTTCCCCATCTGATTGAAGTTAATTTGAAGTCAGCACACCACCAATTGATCTCCTAATGAATAATAATAATTAATATAAAAATCCGATCTTGCAAAAAAAAAAAAAAAAAGTACTAAAACAGAGCCTGTTTTGGAATTGAGAAAGGGGAAGAAAAATTTACCTCAAGCAGTCAAGGGGAGTCCTTGCGGCAATTTCCCCAAAATCGTTCTCTCTTTTTAACACCACTCCCGGTTTAAAGCCACGATCTTGAGCCCACTTAATGCAAACAACATCATCATATCGTTCGGCAACGATTCCCCAAGGTGCATTACGCAACTGATTGAGTTGTTCTTGATGGGTGGCCACGAATTGATTATGACACTCCTCTGCCGTCGCCTTCATTTGTTGATACAGTGTTTCAAGTTCCTCTTTGTTCTTTACGTCGGCGCAACACTCCGGCAGAGAATCCACCTGGACCTCCTCCCATTGTTTCTTGGTGGCAGAGAATCCACCTGGACGTCCTCCCATGGTTTCAAAGTTCACCCAAGATTAGCCCCTTTTCTCTCCAAACTGCTTTCCTAGCTAATTAGAACAATACTATGAAAAAGAATCAAATCTTGAAGGCCCTCAAGGGAAATCTTTGCTTGAACTCCAATGATCTTTGTTTTGATGTTTGGGAAGGGGCAGTGCTTCGACTGGTTCTTCCTCATATTCTAGATTGTCATAAAGGAAGGGTTTTGCGAGTTCCGTTTTGAGGTGATAAGTGTCACATGCTCTTAACAATTTGCCCATAAGCATCATTCCTTATCCTAACAATGCCAACATCAAAGCTGTGATCTTTAGCCCACTTCATACCAACGACATCTTCAATCGATTCAGCAACAACACCCGAGATCCCTTGACAAACATTTTGAAGAAGCAAATGAATGTCCTACTGATTTCACAGTGGCTTGCTGCTTTTGAAAGAAATTATCAATCATAAAAGAATATCTCATGTCATCAAAATTATGTTTCTCTTGCAAACTATTAGTTTCATCAATCCATGTCTATTTCTCATCTAAGTCATCGCTCTAAAACAGAATTGTTGAACCCTTAACAGTCCATATCTCATGAATCAAACAGTTCGTATCTCAGGAAATTTGAAAACTATTCTAGCACTACCCAAGTTAAGCCGTGACTTGTTTGGTCCTATAACATTTGAATCCATGACTTTTTTGGTCCTATACATAATGGTCAATATATTGTTTTGTACCGTAAATTACACAATAAGATCATTTTTTGGCTTTTAAAGTAGGACTTGACTCTGTTTAATCATAAAACATGAAGGAGATACTTTACGTATGTTGTTCTTGATGATAGTGCGGATGAAGATGACTTTTATGAAGTTTTGGGAGAAGTGTGTGAGTGCGAAACTTCATAATTTGAATGTGATTGTGATATTTCTAGCCCACAACCGTTGATTAGGAATTTAGCCCAAAAATTAGTTCGTGGGAATTGATTTCTTGTTTATATAAATCCTCTTTAATAATATATTAAATTTTTGTAAATTTTTATATTTGGTTGTAAATATGTGTAAAATTTTGTATTTGATTACAAATCTAAACAAAAGGGTAATGTCTTTTTTTTTCTTTCTAAAATATAGATTGGAATCTAAATCCCAACCAGAATCACCAGAAGTCGAGAAACCTATACCGACCTCAACTCAAAACTGATCCCCAAATTAAACACCTATTTGTTTGACAACTACTGATGGTTGTTAATAAAAAAAAATAAAAGAAAAAACTGCTTGTACCCAAGCGATTCCGATCCCTTAAATCATGAGAATGACTGCATGACAACAAAGAGAGAAAAAAGAAGAAAAAATGGTGTCTCTGTATCTATATATATACTCCATTATAGTAGAAACCATCAACAATCTCTAGTCTGACGTATCACATTCTTATGTCTCAATGATCAAAATGTTTTCCCTCCCAAAATCTATTATGTCTCAACGATCCACTGGTCGTCCATCCCATATATACATTTAAATTTACGTACGTCATTATAGCAGAAACCATCAACAATCCTCAATTTGTATCTATATATCTATATTGGTATACTACATTAACAATCCCCAAAGTGACGTGTTGCATTCTTATAAAATGTTTTTCCTCTCAAAATCTATTATATCTAAACGACCACATGTTGTCCATCACCCCCCACACACACACACACACATATATATATATATAAAAGAGTGAACCACAAAACAACTCAGTGAACTATTGGGTAATTTCATCACAGGTTATCAATCAAATTTATTGATAAAATAGGACCCTTTACTAACCAAAAAAATTCATCCGAGATCATTCTATTACTTTTATTCGTTAAATCACAAGTAAAACTATTTTTCACATTCAAAACATGTTAGTTGAATCCAGGGACAATTTCACCATTGTGTTTTAAAAAAAGAAAAAGTTCTAATTTTTTTTCAACAATTCTTCTTATACTTCCTAGCTTGTATATGTTGATACTAATATAATGATTAGATTTCAAGAATTAATTTAATTTTTTGCATTTTAACTTCTAAGTTATGAAAAAATATAAAAAGATTACACTGTTAAAGAGTGAAAGCATTTATCTTTGCCAAGAAATATAATAATTACTTATATTTTTTTAGCCATCAATATATTAACAATAATAATTACCGTAAATAAAATAATTATTTTAAGATAAAAATGAGTAAAATTTATATTTGGTAACTAATCTAATATTACAAGGAGTCAAGGAGAAACGACTTATCTTAACTTATTCCTTAGGATTTTTTTCCTTTTTTGTTTAAAATGGTAAACTATTTTTTTCATGTTTATGTCAACTTGAATTTTTTTCTTCGTTTTCTTTATTTATTTATAAACTTTTAACAATTTAAAATTTGAAATACAAGAGGTAAATTAATTCTAGAGATTTATTAGTTATAGACAAAATTCTTATAAGGGGCGTTGAAAGTTTAATAATTCTTAGGAAGGGCGTAAAAGTTCTAAAATTCTTATTAAGGGTGTAACTATCATTTAATATGAGAAATTTACCTTTGATGGCAATTTTACCCTTTTATTGTTATTAGTAAAGATATGTTTCATAATTTCCAGATTTCTTTAGGATCTTTTTTTCCCTTTTTATTTCTCTGAACAATAAAGAATTAAATACTTGTGGTGCTGCATAGCATCAAAATTAATGGTTTCGTTGGAGGCGATCCTACTCCTAGCTATGGTGTTGTTTGGAAAAATCTATCCTTCATATTCTTCTGGTGGGGTTCCCCCATTATCAATTATGGAAACAAGAGCCATACTTCTACGAGTTTATAAATTGGTTTAAGCCGGTAGTAGTAACAGTATCAAAGTTCTTTCTTTTAGTTTTGATTCTTTTTGTTTTCGGTATTATATATATATATATATGTATATATATATATATATTGGCCACTTATAAATTGGAACCTAACTCATCCAACAGTAATACTTAGTCAGAAAATCCTCAATCATCATCGGGCATCAATTAAGTTGATCCTTTGAAAGCATTAAATATGTATTACAAATTTCCTATCAAAAATCTCTTAAAGGAAGTAATTAGATAAGGGTTAAATTGTCATGAAAAGTGAATTTCTTTTAGGAAAATAATATGTATAGTGGAAAAAAAAAAAACAATGACAAAAGATAGTGAGTGATGTAGAGTATTTTTGGCTTTCAGTTTTTTGCCACTTTTCCGTTAAAATTTTATCTTTCCCTAAACATTATATTTTTACCACTAATTAATAAGTACACATATTTAGTGAGAATAGTGTATTTGTCTGTTCATTAGTCACTATTCTATTTCAGTATATTTCATGTCTTGAAATCTTTTTCCAATATAATATTTTTACTGCTTACTTCAGTGCAACAAAAATGGCCAGGTGCTTATCACGTTTTTGTGGGTTAAATGGGCCAGGTGCTTGATGGAATTTTTTTTTTTTTCCGCCTGTTATTATACTAATAGTAACCCTATATTCACTGAAAATTAAAACTTCCTCATGTAGTTTTGCACATAATGCAACACAAGGGCGATGACGAATTTAGTTTCCGCTTTCTTGTAAGAGGGACCCCATCTTTTCTGTAGCGAGCGAAGGGTGGATAGAGATCAAAGAGACCAATTGTACCTTTTGATTTTTTATTTTTAAAAGTTTGATTAAACTATGGATTTTTAGGGCCATATTTTTCACTTTAATCCAAAATTTTTTAATCACCGTTCAAGAAGAATAGTTCACATTAAATTTTAAAATTATTTTTTGTGATAGAAATAGTATCATTTATTTATTTATTTATTTTGATATCCCACTGGAATTCCTAAAAATGTAACAAAGATCTAGTCACATGGTTCCCTTGGTTGAGCTCAACTCCAAATGAACAAAATGATCTTGACCAATCAATTGTTTAATTTGATAGCATTATTGTTAATCCAGTTTATCTACATGTTGCCAAGTAATCAATAACGAATCTTGATTACAGCAATACTTAACTGGAGAGTTAGAGTGAACTGGTAAGATTCAAAAGAAGGCTTGTTTGAAACATCATTTCTATATAGGTCATGATTTTTCCACTCAACTGCAAAGCTCCATTAACAACTTTGCGAACGTGGATTAGTATTCAACTTCACCTTGACTATATGAGATATGGAAATTATTTTCTCATCTACAAAACTTGTTGTTTTCTTAGGCTGATTCTGAATGTGGTAACCACCAACATAAAGCCTACAAAAATGCGAAAGCATCAGGGAGAAAAAATTGTTGAGTCAACTGAGCTGCCATTGCTCTCTATACAAGGGCATCAAATCAGAGAGACTAAAGCATGCATGAATGACATTAATTCCATCTCAAGAAGAAATGACTAGCTATATAACCCGGACACAAAATCGAAGACTTTCACATACACCATTATGCTATTTCTCCCAATTGCGGCGAAAAATTTTGGGATGCACGCAGAAGGTTTTGTCAAGTCCAGAGACGATGGAAGTAACGATGAACTGAATAACTTAAAAAGGCTCCTTTGGGCATAGCAAAACCATGCAACAATGGAAAAGGTTTCAAGGTTCATGTCTCTTTTCTCAACTGCGCTCTTCTCTACCATCTCTATGTCTATGTATTGTGTAGCAGTAGAGGAGAAGGCACTAACATTCATTCAAGCAACCAAAAACGGGGCTCAAATTCTGTGTGCTTCCTGGGGTATAACCATTTCCTCGTAATCACCAACAACAACCTGTAATAAACAGCATCATGAGCCATCAAGTAGTACAAAAACACTTGAGACAATTGAAGAGTATAGAGTACTACCTTATATTTATCACCTCTGTAGGTGTATTCTACAAGTAACAGCTTCGGCTCTCCAGGACAAGGATCACAAAAGCCCATAATTCCTGATTTCTTTACACCATCATGCAGCTGCAGAAAATTATGAGACAAGATCAGAAAAACAGAAATCCTTCAAAAGTCCAATATTCACTGCAAAAGAGGAATACAATTGCACAAGTGCTGGCAAGATATAGAATCATGACAGAACTCTTTGAATAGTTCAAAGGGAAACACACCTTCAATTGCCCTGACTCGTTTACCAGAAAATTTAGGGGTAAGGTGACATCAATAAATCCAGACAATACTTCATCCTGGGCTTCTTCCACTTCACTTTCGCTTCTTACAACAGTCTCACTTCCATAAATTGCTTTTGTAATCACCAGACCGTCTGTCTCCAACTGTGAATTCCGTTTCCTATTTGCCACATTTTGTAACAATTGTTGGGCCTTTTTAGCTGCTGCTCTAGATTCACGTACCTGTTCAAAACAAAAAGAGAATGAGAACGACAGATGGATCATCCTAAGGATTTATGCAACAAATGCAATCCACTCATCTTAAAATATGAAAAATCCAAATACCACCACATGATAGTACTTGTGGCTACTAGAATCAACCAAGTTCTAATAGTCACTGATACATCAGAAAATTTTGGAGAGTTGAACAACTTGAAAGCTCATTAGCTGAATGAGCTCCCTCACAAAGTAGAAAACACAAGAAGCCTAGGTAAGGTATTTTGTACCACATGTTTTAACTTGAAATAATGGCGTTTCAGTCTGTTTTTCATGTCGCTGTGAATCTGCTTTCTTCTGGACAACTTTAAGACTGAAACTAAGTGCTTCTTTTAAAGAACCATGTATTTCTAATACTATGCTCACTTGTGGCATTAAAGTTTTATTATTACCCGCAGTATAAAGGTGACGACATAATATGCTGGAACATACCAGAATGATCATGCGAATTAGAAAGCACATCATCTGCCCATGAACATGTAATGCAGAGGAACTAATCTGAGGACACAAAATATCTAAACCCTCGCTCATGGTATTAGATCATTTCTATCAAAACATGAAAAATACAGAGGCAATTCTATCATTTATTTCTACTTGTTATTATTTTAAAAATAAGAGACAGAGAAGTGAAAGGAAAATAAGATGCAACTTTTGATCAATAGGTCAGAGTTGATTGTGTATTGAATTCCCGAAAATGTTAAATCATTATCTTCAATTGTTAAATTCCCAACCTCAAATATGTACAATTATGAAGACCAGGCCGCCATTAGCATAGAAAATGTAACACAATGACTTTCATTACACGCCCCCAAGTACACTACGTAGAATCTGTGAAAAGGGGCTCCAACCAAAGATCATATTGCAAGGAAATTAAAATGTTCAGTAGAAAACCTATGTACTGTACCTGGGCTTGAGTCTCAATGTTGGCTAATGGCTTCTGCTTTTCAAGTTTCTGATAATAGGGATCCAGAATATAGGTCTGCATGAGCACCGAAAATTTTTTAAGTCAGGACAGGAACAAAGTCTCACCCAAAGCCCTCGACAACTCATTTGACAGGTCAACAACCTAGCCTCGATGAACCAGGAGCTTAAACATGCTTAGCGTGAAACCAAAAAAAATGATTTTAACTTCAAACAGATTCCAAATGGTTAAAAATTCACATGACAAATAGATACAATCAGAAACAAATAAACCCATGTTCACGAACACTACTGTATGTTTTAAGTGACCATGCAACATAGAGGGTTCTTTATCAACTTACACATAATTGACTCTTATAAAAAATTTTCAGTATGAAGCTACCAGAACTAAACAAGTAGAACAATTTCAAATGCAAGAACCCAAAACCGAAATCCATTCTCAACGTCCATTATCAATAAGAGCATTACAAGTTTTGATCAAATGCACCAAGCAATTGATCAGCTCATAACAAATGAGGTGATTCTGTACTCAGATCACTTCACAGATACAACTACCAACCTTGATTAAAAAGTAAAGCGAGGTAGGAATAATAAATGCTCCGCTAGCAAAAATAGGACTTAACTGGCGGGACAGCAAGACCTGCATAAGCAAAATTGTCAACATTAATAACAACATAAGAAAGGTTGATGCTTCAAACTTCAAATAAGAAACCAATTTCGTGGTGCAACGCAGTTTCTTAAAAGTCAAAGTAGCATACCCATTGACAATATGTTGGAACAAAGAAAGAAAGGAATAATTAAATGATTAAAGGGATACATCAAGCTTTCAAGTGAGTTAATCATTAACTTGGCCAGCATTATCTCCAAAATAACCTCTACGAAATACATTAACCCAACGCAAATGAAAATTAGAATTCTAAGGTTTTGCCCTTTATAACTTTTTCAACAATATAGTAATTTTCTTCAAAATAAAGACTTTACATTCCACTCTGGATTCAGTCACCTATTAACATAAAGTCTAAATTATATCAATATTTTAATGCTTAAACTAAATTGAAATATCTATAAGGTGAGAAGCTATATAAGTTGCTGCAAAACTACTAAGATTAACCATAAAGTCTAAATCATCTCAACGGTGATAATGCTTAAACTAAATTAGAATATCTATAAGGTGAGATGCTATATACATAAGTTGCAGCAGAACTATATTTAAATCTCAAGTTTTCATTTATGGACAGCACTTACAGGGACAATCAACTTCTGCCCTGCTCGGTGCAATTCTAATTTCCAGTATATTCCCTGTGAAGAACCAAAGAACAAATGTAAACATCAGATGCAAAACACACAAAATAGAGAAATTAAAACATAAATAATCTCTAATGAAGGACTTCTCATTTGATTATAATGTGCTCCCCTTTATTTTCATACTAGTGACTATAAGATCATACAAAAAATAAACAGGAAATATGAAAGTGCAGTGAATCTTATGGCTCCAAATAAGAAATTACAGAATCCTGAAAGGACAAATAACCAATACCTGAATTCCAATTGAATACAGCATTCGGACAGTGCTAAATTCGGTTATTTTTCTTCCACCTCCTACTTCAAATTCAAGTGCTGAGCTGCAAAAGGTAGCACCAAATTTCAAATGTTTACAAGGAAATAATTGCAGCCAAACCATAGCATCTTTTATGTACACATGCAATTACTCATCCAAACTTAGCGGTATGCAATAGCGTGAATGGAAATCAGACTCGTAAATTACAAACAGGTGAAAAACAATTAACAGGGACATTGAATTAACAAACTTAAGAATTAATAGGGACTTTGATCATCACATGAGCATAACCAACTTCCTCACTATCAAGAGAAGCAAAACCTAAGATGAAGAAACATCTGCTTTAAGGAACTAATAGTTTCTAGGTGAGGTGTAGGTACATCATAAAGGATCAAACACATTTTCCTTTCAAAGTTCCATAACAGTAGATAATTATGGAAGTAGTTCAATATTACGATTGCAATAACATTAGCTGTTCCAGGATACCACTTTCCCAGACTAATCTCCTACATTTTGGCTGGCATTCAATGGGACGTTTTCATAAAGATAGAAATGCTGGAAAACTACCTTAGATGGTGGCACATAGAAAAAGCGCCACTTATTAAAATATAATTACACAGACTGGAGCTTACCAAAAAATGTCCCACAAAATTATCTAATGTTTGTTTGTACAGAAGTGCCCATTCCAGTCAAGCAACTGGTCCAAGATATGAACCATACATATCTAAAAGCCTTTACTTTCATTCATAAAGATCGTTTGTATGACAGCAGAAAAACTATAATCATAAAATTTAGGACCTTTAGGGGGAAAAACATTGTAAAGACATCAAAATTTGATATGGGAACTATGAAATTTGTAAACATTGTCAAAACTTTTGTGACCCAGTTGTTGGATGTCCAAACGGGAGAGGTCATCCAACTAATCTTCTTAGAGAATAAGTTGGAAAAGATAATTTAGTGCATTAAAATGTTTGGCATCTCAATTGAAATATACAGGAAATGCTTCACAGAGAGAACATCGAAGACATACAAAAGAAATCATCCAGGACAGGCCAAGTCATGCATATTTCTTCACCTAGACTAATTTCAACTTTTAAAGAGTCATAAAACACACGAAATCATGAGAACGAGGGTGATCATCACGTCATTACATGATTTAGGTCTTAGGAAAAGACAAAAAAATTAAACCAAGCGAAAGCAAAAGAGAGAAACCTTCCAAATTTTCCAGCAATTCGCCCATGAGATTTTTCGGAGAATCGGTGAGTATAATGAGCCGATATGCCAAATGACCCATGGCCAATCTACCATATAATGCAACAAATAAGAAGTTGTTGAGAACATTTGATGATGGAACATGTAAAAAAGTCAAAAATACAGAAATTAGGTATTAATTTGCTTTAAACAAAAAAACCAATTTAGCTTTAAAAAGGAAGCATAATTGAATTCAAGGAGCCACAGGACTAAAGGGCAAAATAAACTGTAGTTTAGCTGTGGACATTGGAGTAAGAACAAGAGTGCTGATAATAATTGTTTCAATTGCATGACATAGAGTAAGAATGGGCCAACAAAGGGTATACCTTGATATTTCCGGCAGCAGACCTTTTTCGTTCTTTCTTTTGCCACCCAACACCAATAGATGGCTCCGCACCTAACTCTACTTCAATCTGAAACATGGAAAATGGGAAAGTTATCAGCATGTTTGCGATGTAAATAATCACAAACAATATCAGGGGAAAAAAAACAAAAAACGATTACATTTGCATTAGTAGTCTCTGAAAGTTGACGGGTCCAACTGTTGGAAAGATTAATCGAACCATCTTTCAAAGAAGTGGCAAGTCCAATTGTTGCAGAGGAGTGTTGGGATAAATAACTGAAGACAGCAACAAGCATAATTAAATTCCCCAGCAACATTTAAGGAAAAACGATAGCATATTCAGAAAGAACCATACTGTGATGCTTGAATTCCTATTAATGCCCTTAGCCCGGCAGAGCCCATAGCCTCCACAGTAAATGCAGGAGACACCTGACGTCTAAAGACAACAGTCGCTACACCACCTCCAGATTTTCCATCCACTGCCAGGTTCCCCCCCAGAGCAACGACATTTTTCTTGGATATTTGAGATTGAACTTCACTAGCCATAGCCATCCTGCAAAATAAGCAGACCCAGTAAAATAACAAGTTAAACCCACATGGAAAAGCCCACATATTTTCCTTCCACAGCACTGGCCAAATGGTTCGTGGTAATCGGTCAACAGCTTGTCCAATAAGATACAGATTAATTTTCCATTTATGGACAAGTCTGATAAGTTACCAGAATTATGCCAAAATAAAACCCAATGACTAGATAGTATACACTACAAATGGTAAACAGTAGCAACAATGGGAAGGTAATTAGGGAAGATCAGAGTTAAAGGTAAGCTATAGACGCATGGTAACTTAATGACTAAACAAGGCAACCAATTTTTTTAAATGAACACAAACAGAACCATTAGCCGAAAAAGAAACTACACATATGTTTTACCCTTTGATAATGCCTTCACCCGCAAGAAATTGTGGCAATGAGACATTAGCCAGAACTGAACCAGAAGGTATCATATATGGGGGGAACTTCTTCTCCATTTCCCTCTGTTGCCGGAGTCTCTCGAGTTCTGCTTTAATCTCTTCGACTTTATCAAGTCGGGTACCCAGTTCTAGGCCGGAAGTTAACCCTTCCATACCGTATATATCATATATGATTCTCTTTTGCGGATCCGACAAAATTTCGTAGGCTTGACATATTCGCTGAAAGTTCTCTGTCGCGATGTCTTTCATCTGAAAAAGCCAGAGATAAAAATAAACCAGAAGCTCCAACAAAAACATCACTTCTTCCCACAGAGTATTGCAACCAAGAAGACATAAAAAATATATCACTAAGATGCCATTCTATCCACTCTAGATACCAACCCGCATAGCCATAAGCCCTGCCCCAGGCACATGAAGCACAGAAACAAAAAGGGCTAAAGAAGCAGAAACAAGTTTCAGATGGGAGGAACATGATCCAGCAATTGATGATCACTCACTGCTTGGCATCAACTGAAAGGCGGTTGTATATGCTATTGATGTAAAAATAAGTTACCATAAGCTCTCACTCACATATCCACACTCACACTTAAAAAGCATAAGGACAAATTCAACCACACTCAATAAGCATTAAGGATTAAAAATCAAATCTTGTAGGGTAAAAAAGTCCCACTATTCAGTAACGTTAACCAGCACAACTTATTCTAGAGCATATGAAATAAAACCAGATAAGCTTTTCATACAAAACATCAAACTTCGTACAATAGCCGTTAACATGTTTAGTCAATTACACTCAATAGAACGTACCCGTCTTCAACGAAAACAAAACCCGAAAAGGCAAACAAACTCAAATCACGAAATTTTCATTTACACAACATTCCATTGCCATAATTCTCAATCCTAATTCCCAATAACTTGGAAAAAAAAAAAAACAAAGAATAAATTTTTCAGACCGAGGAGGGAAAAGATGGAAGAAAGGAAGTAGTTACATCAGAATCCTGATACTTATCAGGATGATAAACTTGAGCCCATTGACGATAAGCCTTTCTAATTTCTTCATCCGATGCCTCCGGAGAAATTTGAAGCAAAGCATAAAGCTCTCTGACATTGGATTCTGCCTCTTTCATTGCTTTTCTTCTGTCTGGAGTTTATAATTATCAATAAAAATCAAAACCCAGAAGAAATTATGAACTTTGGGGTGTAGGGTTTTAGGAATTGAGCAGGGTTTTAGGCGGTGAAGTTGAATTCTGTCCGAATGGAATTCTGTCCGAAATAATTTTTACTTCTTTTTGGGGTAAATTTCGTGGATGATAGGCTACCTATTCTGAGAGTGTGGCTTTGACTGGCGTCTTCCGGGTATCCGGGTTGTTTGGGGAAGAAGAAGGACATAACCCGGTTGTTGTTATACTTGGGTTTTTACAAGTTTGGGCAAATCGTGTTTTTATCTTAAGCCCACTCTATTTACTCAAAACAATGGACAGGCCTACATTGCTATGGGCTACATGGTCTCTTGTCCTTTTTTGGGCTCTCCAAATCTTGTCGGGTTGAAAAAATAGTGATTGAGGTGTACGTGAAAACTGATAATGACTTATGTGTATTTATTAATTAGGTGTAAAAATTTAGTTTTGAGGAAAAAATAAAATTTAACGAAGAAGTAACAACAAAATAGAAAATCGTAATACTTCACATCAGCCATTATTTTTTTCACTATTTTTTTTCACGATCTATATCATTTTCATTTTAATCACAATTCATAAGTAGTAGTATGGCCTCCTAATTTTGTTGATACTTTCCAGTAAAATTTCTATCTTTTCTCTGAAAGTTACACTTTATCCAATTATTATATACATGTCGAGTGGCAGAGTTAGGAAAAAATCTCACCGGGGCACAATAAATTTTCGTCAAGTATTGACATCATGGTTTTTTAAAAATAAAATAAAATAAAATATGCTAGTGAAAATTATCCTCGTATTAAATAAATATTTGTCTCATACATTCTTATTGATTTAATAAGTTAATTGGAGAACAACGTTTTGTAAACACATATCACTAAGTATGATATAAAAGTAAATTTTTTAATTTTCAAATGATTTTTCTGCTCTTAAAATTTCTTTTTCCCTTGAAAGAAGTCAAATTTTAATTAACATATATAATCCCTTTTAAAAACATAGCTTATTTTTTTTACTACGGGCCAATTAGTGGACTTTTTGAATTCTTAAACAATAAATATTAATATCTTTTAAAGCCCCAATTCATATTAATTCTCCCAACCAAGTAATTCACCTAATTAATTATGATTTTTATAATTTTAGAATAATAAAATCAATAAATAAAAAAAATAATTTAAGGGTGGGCCCACTCCAGGGGGGCACGTCCCCCAACCCTGAATCCTCCCCTGTACATGTCACTTATTATGAGTTTTTACTATATTTTTTTATTGAGTCTATTGCTGATATTATTTTTTATTACAAAAAAGGAGTTGAGAGGAAAAAAGGAAAAAGTTTGTGTTTCTTACTCATGTTGTGAGTTAAGAACGAGTTAAGAACGAGTGACCAAGGAACACTTTTTGGTCAGAACGTGAGCCGTGAGTCCGTGCCCACTTAAAATTATGTGATAATCAGAACCCAAAAATTACAGTAACAAATTAACAGAACTTTTTCACAATTGTTTGCCACACAACTCGTAGAGATGAATTTCTTTATTATTTGTAAAAAGAGTAATGATGTATTCAAAGAAAGAAAAAAATATTAAAGTACAACTTACTAGGTATGATTGTTTTATAAGCTAAATTATAATTTTAAATGGATAAATCCTAGAAGTAATAAGGTATAAGTACTACTCCTACGGACAAATGTAATTTAATACACGTCATTACTTACAAATTTTTCATCAATATTTTTTCTTATATTTGTCAATATTATGGTAAAGATAGAGTATTTTTTATAAGGTCTTGCGCATAATATATAGGAAGTTTGCTCGATTTTTGCCAACCATTTCAAACTTCGTATAATTGCACAACACTACATAGTTTTTGGTTCGGTGAGTGAGTACAACGTGCGTGCTAATCGTTGAGCATTGTGAACTTTATAGGAATTAGTTTTAAGATTTTTTTTTTTTCTCTAAGATATACTTTCCGCCGATAGCGAGAGGACTAATCCTTCGTCTCTACGGTCAGCGCACTAAGCAGTAGGGGACTGACCAAATAGTTTGCTCCATTCACATAGATAGGGATCGAAGTTTTAAGAAATTTTTAAGTTAGGATGACATGTCAAATTCATTTTAATTTTTCCATTAGAACCAGATAAGTCCTTTCATAGGTGAATTTCTCTCGAATTTCGAGCTCTTACTTCGGTACCACATTATAAAGCTGATAACACGAAATTTTAATCCATTTCTTCTAGACAAACTATGTAATATCGGTCGGAGTAATATTTTTTAATAAAGAAAAATATAACGTAAAAATGTAAAATCAGTAAATTTAGCTACTTCCTTTGTCCCCCCCTACCGTTTGATAACATTGTATATACAACTGTTGTCGCTCAAAGGAAGGTAACTAATATCACTCATGATCATAGTTAAAAGTCAAGAAGCTTCTAACTTCACATTTTAACTATTTTGAAAACGATCATATAGTTTCAATCAAATCGTAAAAAGGTATAAACACTTTTAGTGAATTGTGTTTCAGCACACTCCTCCGGTCAAATAATTGCTAATAGTCACATTTCTTATAAAGATAGAAATGAAACAACATTACTTATTGAAACGGTTTAAAGTTTGTATATTTATATAAACATCTTTCTTAAGATTGGAATCTTTCATTCTGCTTCTTCATTAATGATTGGAAAGGTTGCTTACAATTTCTCAAACAATCATTTACGTACCTTATCGTGGAACTTGTTTCACTGAAAATTATAATCATTATCAATTCATAATGTCTAATTGGTCAGTTGGGTGAAATGTTGATACATTAAAGCGAATATTATCTAAATGTTATATCTCATTTGGTACTGGACGATTTTTGAAAAAGATAACAAGGTACGTAATGCAAGCTTTTCCTTAAATATTAATGATACATTGGAAATATCTGTTCTTTTGAAAATCCAGATTTAATATCCAAATGGATGTTTTTTGGCCTGAATTATTGACACAAAAGATCCGAGGGTACAGGCAAAGAAGGAAGATGCAAAGAAACTTCGTGCTTGGATATTTACCCCACCAAACATATACCCCACAAAATTGTCGCCATATTGTGGCTTTGATGTGATCCAAGAGCTTTGTCATAGTAACAAATTCCCCCTCACATTGCTATCACGTAGTCGAATGTTCATTCTTTCAATCAAATTAATTCGTTACCCTTCTAGGATTTCTAGGATACCATACGGTGTTTTTTTTTTTTTATAACCATAAAAAGCTTGATTATTATTGTTGAAATAAAAGAAAAATTGTTGAGAATTAATCGTTCTAAACGGACTTATAGATCATCATTAAAATAATTTTCATTCAAAACTTGTTTTTTAAGTTATCTTCGTTATAAACTTTATTTAAGCTATGAAAATTCACTAGGAAGTAGCAACTCTACATGAAGTCACTCAGCACTTTCAATTTATAACCTTTGTTCTCTTTTATTATGTTATTATTTCCTTTGGTACCTCCCACTAATTATAACACCCATTAAAATATTTATAAAGATGACTTTAATTTGTGATAATCTCGACTGTATATGGTGTAGCTTGTTGAGATAAACAAAGCACTTAAATATATGGTACATTTTCACCAGGTCATTCTCAACACCTTAACTAATCCTTCGAAAAGGGAGAAAAAGTCTTCATTAAGATATGCGCTAACCAATAAAGCAATGGCATCTAGCTCACTCACTGTGAAAACACGATAATTTTAATAGTATTATTTAAGTTTGCCCGTGTAATAGATTCTGTTAAAAACACTATTTTCTAAAAGCTGTTACAATGTGTGGGCTATACATTATTCACAAATCCAAACCTATAGTCAGTTTTCATACTGAGGTTGTTTATACAAATGACATGACATTCATTCATTAATTTTTATGAATATATATAATTATGAAAACTGAATCGTTACTCTTTATAATACATCACTTACTAACTTATTGAGCATACTGGTGGTATAAGCAACTTGTCTCGTTAATTATTTTATCGACAATTATTTTGAGACAACAGAAGAAGTACCTTCGAAGGGCGATGCCTAAAAAAAATTTTACTGCTTCCATACTTTTGTCCATCTCGTTTTCACATTAGTCTTCGGGCATTTCATGACAAATGTAACGTAACTTCTCTCAGCAACTACAAAACGTTAAACTGTACCTCCCGTGTTACTCCATTCCTCCATTAGAGATAAGAAGGAAAGAAAGAAGCCAAACTTAAAAAACTCCATAGCAAAGCCAAAAATCATCAAGCTAGCTTTTCTTTTCTTTGCTTCCAAAAAATGGGTTTGTCGTTGGCTCTAGTTGGAGCAGCAAAGACGTTTGGACTTATGGGAATAGGCCAAACTTTCATCACAACTCCAATGGTGGCCACCTTAATATGGCCTTTTGTGCTTAAAGTTCTCCTCAATTTAAGACCTTTCAATCAGATCTTCATCAACACCGTCCACTCCTCCAGGCTTTTCTTCTTCCAAATGGGCCAGATTACTTCCGACCCCGGCGGCGACGACAACTCCGATCGCCGGAGAACCCGGTGGGAGAGGGCCATGATGTTGGTGAATCAAAGGCTGGTTTTTGCTCGGACTTCGCAATGGGGTGATGATGATGAGGAGAGTCTCCGGGCTGTTTCGGTTCTGGCACTCTGAAAAAATGTTTCTTTTTCAAGCTGAGATTCTTTCTTCTATGTCGCAAAATCTTCGCATTCGATGGTTATATTACAAAGCTGATCATAGTTTTTCATCTTATGTTGTTTCTGTTGATTATTAGTAGTACTGTTCAAGGGGGAATCGGGAATAGGAATAATTTGTTGGTTATTTGCAGATTCGTTTGCATTGCTGAGATAAATTTGGTGAGTAAAACCCCATTGTACCATGTAAATTATTACCTCTATATATGTGGTAAATGTTGGAGTTATTTTCCATATATTATAAGGACACAATTAATATGTTG